GACTGAATATCTGCTCAGTAAACCTTCACTCAACTCACAAAACAAAATTCTTTTAAAACTCAATAAATGAAGAACATGACCACTGTTACCAAAAGACAAATATGTGTGTATTTCTGCTGCATTTACCATCAACTTAAACGTTTTAACAAGTGAGGATACACCATTGTATTTCACACAAAAGGAAAAATGAGAGACTTACAAGTGGGAAATCGGTCACGTAGGCTTCGCACATTAGGATTTCAGGGGGTTTGTGGACTATGCTCGTATAGATGATCATGACATTGGAAAACTCGGCTGCAAATCCCAGCTGAATCTGAACACCACATTGAAACTTAAGACACATACTTTCTGGAAGTTCTGAAAGAAAGAATACAAACGATTTCATTACGTAAAGAGAGCCGGGTGGGCTTTCTGGTGATTATTGTTGTTATGTGTCACTGAGCCCATGCCCACTTACTACAGGTCTGTAGGACAAGGCAGAACTGCCCCAGAGGGTTTCTGAACCTGTCCATCTTTATAAGAAGCAGGTCTTTTCTACTCCAGAGTCGCTGATGGGTTTGAACCACTTTACTTTTAGTTCTCAGCCAAGCACTTAATCATTGTACCACCATGACTATTTCTGATGATTAACAGCAAACATTCTTGATGAAATAGAATATGGTTATGTTTTTTTGTGTGTGTATGTACAAAAACAGCACATAACCAACACTATACTGTTTAAAACACCTAACACAATTCAAAAAGGGTGAAAAATTCAAACCTTTCATTCACTCTTGTCCACCTGCATACAGAATTTTCCCAGCAGCACTCAAAAGAGTCTATACAACTGTTGACACTTGTACATTACTACCCCCATCTTCCTACTGGTACTTTTTGCTAAAGCATAACATCATGGTCCAGCCAGCCTCCAATTCATTACTTTTAACCATTCTGCTACTCTTGAATACTGGTGATATTTCTGGGTTTTATTTTTACCCTATCATAGTCAATATTTCATATATACTTAATTCTTTAGGATTGCTGAACATAGCTATTTTACAGTTCTCCACAAAAAGGACAAACTGCTCTCAATTTATAAGAAATAACTTCACACTAATATAAATAACTTTTAAAATAATTTTGTTTATATAATGGACTAAAGAAAAAAATACATCATCATGGCTTTAATTTTTCTTCTCTAATTACTCCTGGTGTGGTGCTGTGGGTTAATGTGCCAGACTGCAAAGCTGTTTGAACTGCCAAGGTTGGTGGTTCAAGCTCACCAGCTGCTCCTCGCAAACCCTACACACGATCGCTATGGGTCAAAATCGATTCGAATTCAACCGAACAGCACTTCACAACAACAACAAATTACTATTAAAATGTGCCATTCTCTAAAGACGAGGCTTTCTGCTCTCACAAAGATTCACAGCCTCAGAAACCCTACACAGGGTTGCTAGGAGTTGGAACGGGCTATACCCCACTAAAGAACAACATATTTCATTCTTAATGTATTCTCAACTGCTTAGATTATTGAGTTTGAACTTTTTCACATACTACTTTACAGTGAGTCAGTCCTGACTCATCATGACCCTGTGTGAGGTTTCTGAGGAATGAGTTTGAATCACCAACCTTGAGGCCAGCAGTCCAGTGCTTATCCTATAGCAAGACACCAGGACTTCATTTTATGGTGCTGTTGTTGGTTAGTACCATTGAGTTGGTTCGGACCCATGGCGACCCTGTATAGGGTTTTTGAGGAGTGGCTGGTGAGATTGAACTGCCGACCTGTGGTTCAAACTGACTTTTGCAGTCCAGCTCATTAAATTTACTATAAATACTTCTTTTGCCTTTTTAGTTTTTAAATAAGTTTTGTTGACTGTTAATCTTTACTGAGATTTTGTCAGTGTTGTTATTTACAGCTTTAACTTAGGAAAAGATATTTAATTTACTTATCCAATTATCTGGATAGTCAAGATAACATACTTATGATATTTGACATTTAAGCTTGCTGCAATATTCTTTAAGGAACCCTGGTTGTATAGTGGGTTAAACGCTGGGCTGCTAATTGCAAAGTCAGCAGTTTTCATCCATCAGCCACTCTGTGGGAGAAGGAAGAGACTGTCTACTTCTGTAAAGATTTACAGACTCAGAACCTAAGAAACAGTTCTACTCTGTCCTACAGGGCTGCTCTAAGTCGGAACCAACTCTGTGGTAGGGGTAATATTCTTTATGAGGTAGAATACGGGGGGAGCTTTTTCCTTTGCTCAAAAACATCACATAGCTCTCATATGCAATTTTTAAATGAGAAGGAAAAAAGCCCAGTTAATTAACCAAGGATATATCTTAGAGAACAAAGACTATTATGAAAAAAAAAGGTATTTTATAGGAGTTAAGCACATAGTTAATTTTCAATCGTCCATAAGAAACTCATAGTATAGAAAATCCAAAACATTTTAGTAAAACATGAAACTTAATTTTTCATGAAATCACATACAACTGTCAAACGGTACTAAAGTTCCTGCTCACCCAACCCTCTGATTTCAGGGTCACAGAGAGAAGGCCCAAGTGTAAATATGTCTTGGCCAGTATGATATGCGGAGCACCGTGCTCATTTCCTTCTATGATGTAGGACTCTGTTTTGTCCCCATTTTAGAGGTAAGATGCTCACCGAGTTGGCAGAGATGGGACCAGAATCCAGTACATTCCAGCAGGTCACAACATAGGGAACCCAGGGAACTGATTATTGGACACACTGGGAATTAACCCACCCACTGTAACCATGGGAGGACTTCAACATGACCATGCTTTAACTTTACCAATGGTGACAATGATAATTAAATAATTTAATATCCCCACATGAAATAAACCAGTGTAACATCAAGAATGGAAACATTTGTTCAGTCTTGGGGTTTATCCATTAGGCCAAAATCTTCCTACTACAAAACTATGAGGAAAGCTGTTTATACAGGAGAAAAACAATCTATTAATTTCAAATTAAGAAGATGACAGCTCACAGAACACACAACTACCGTACCGTGCGCCTTGGCCCACTGAAGATTCCTGACCAGTGATTCTGCAGAGCATGTGGTTCCCTGGATTGGGTCGGTGAGGGCTCTCTTTTCAGATAAACTGCTCCGAATCTCTAGGGCCTGCTTGCCTTTGGTAAGGTGACACTTGCCCATATCTAAAAGAGAAGTGGGTATGTTTTTGTTGAAAGAGCAGTCACGGTAATTTTATACCCACACTCTGTTAAGAAATACAACTAGTTATCATATAAACAGCTACATATCTGTGAAAAATAGTCATTTGTTTGAAAAAAAAATGAAAGTTACTTATTAACTTTTTTACATTCCAATGATCAGAGAATTACTCAGAACTGAAAGGTACGTTAGAAACCACTGCAGAGTACTTTTCACACTTATTTTGCAGCAGAATGTTTATCAAATGAAATGTAAGATCAATTTTCATATTATTGAGTATTAAAATGTATATTAAATGCAAATTTAAAAAGTCACATCTTTCTAGTGTAGTTGGTGGGTTTGAACCACTGATCTTTTGGTTAGCAGCTAAGTGCTTTAACCACTGCACCATCAGGGCTTCAGTCACTATTTAGAAATTTGTTTGTTGTTGTTAAGTGTGACTGAGTTCCATCTCATAGTGACCCTATACAGCATTTCCAATGTTGTACATTTTTATAAGAGCCAAAAGTCTCACCTCTTTCCTGTGGAGCAGCTAGGGGGCTCGAACTGCCAACCTTGTAGTTTGTCGTCCAGTGCTTATCCTATGGAGCCACTGTGCTCCAATTAGAAATGTGTAGTATTTCCAAACAGTATGTCTCAATGTTTTACGTTTCAAATTGAACAATGATGTTACTATTGTTAGGTGCCAGTCAGCTGGTTCTGACTCATAGGGACCCCATGCACAACATAATGAAAGGCTGCCTGCCCTGAGCCATCCTCACAGTCATTATGTCTGAGCCCACCTTTGCTAGCACTCAATCCATCTCACTGAAAGTCTTTTTCATTGACCCTCAGCTATGATGTCTTTTCCAGGGACAAATCCTTCCAGACAACATGTCCAAAGTATGAAAGATGAAGTCTCATCATCTTTGCTTCCAAAGAGCACTCTCACTGTACTTCTTACAAAACAAGATTTTCCTGTTCTTTTGGCAGTCCATGGTATATTCAATATTCTTCTCTAACACCATAATTTAAATGCGTTGATTCTTTGCTGGTCTTCTTGTCCACTGTTTGACTTTTGCATGCATATGAGGTAACTGAAAATACCACAGGTTCGGTCAGGTGCACCGTGGTCCTCAAAGTGATATTTCTGCTCTTGAACACTTTAAAGAGGTCATGTACGGCAGATCTGTCCAATGGAACACATCATTTGATTTCCTGACTATGGCTTCAATGAGCACTGATTATGGATCCAAGTAAAATGAAGTCTTTGACAACTTCACGTTTCACTCCATTTATTATGATGCAATTGATTGGTTCAGTTGTGAAGATTTCCATTTTCTTTACACTGACATTTAATCCACACTGAAAGCTGTAGTCTTTGATCTTCATCAGTAAGTACTTCAAGTCCTCTTTACTTCCAGCAAACAAGATAGTACCATCTGCTTATCACAGGTTTTTAAGAGTCTTCCTCCAATCCTGATACCATGCTTTTCCTTCATATAATCCAGATTCTTTGAATTATTTGCTCAGTATACAAACTGACTAAGTTTGGTGAAAGAATACAGCCCTGGCGCAGAAGTTTCCTGATTATAAACCACTCAGATTCCCCTTGTTCTGTTCTAATGACTGCCTCTTTGACTATATTCAGATGCCTCATAATTACAATTATAAAGTGCTCTGGAATTCCCACTCGTTTCATGAGTATCCACAGATGAATGACTCTGAATATTCTAGAAAGCACAAACATCTTTCTGGTATTCTCTGCTTTCAACCTAGATCCATCTGACATCAGCAATGATCTCCCTTATTCCCCATCCTCTTCTGAATCCTGCTTGAATTTCTGGCAGCTCCCTGTCGACGCGCTGTTGCAACCATTTTTTAATTATCATGTAGAATTTGAAAACCTTTGACTTAGGTTCATCAAACATCAAAACCCACTGTCATCCAGTCGATTCTGACTCACTGTGACCCTGTACAGGGTTCCAGTGGCTGTAAATCTTTACGACAGCCTCATCTTTCTGCTGTGCAGCAGTCTGTGGGTTTGAACTGCTGACCTTGTGGTGAGCAGTTCATGTTTACCCTACAACGCCACCACAGCTTCTTTGGAGGAGGAGGGGAATGGGGGAGAACTTAGCTTTTTCCACCAGGGCCTTGAAATTCCTGTGGTTTTCTCTGATCCCGGAAGACACTGATCACTAGGCAGCACCCAAGGCACTGGGCCTAAGAGCGGAGGCAGCATGGTGAGGAGTCCGGTCTTGCTCCTGGCTGTGCAGACTCAGCCGTGCAGCAGGAGTGCTGCTCAGAGGCTGTGGCCAAGTCCACAGAGTAGCAAGGAAGCATTTATGTCAACATGTTGCTAAACATGACATCAGGAAATGTGTCTTATTGACCAAAAACTAATTCCAAAACATGCAAAACAACAGTTGTTGATAGGTGCTGTTGAGTCAGTTTTGACTCATAAAGTGACCTGTATAGGGTTTCCATATAGTGACTTGAACCACCATCCTTGCAGTTAGCGGTCCTGAGCTTATCCTACTTAGCCAGAGCAGGACTCTAAATAGCAGTTTTCGACTCATGGTGATCCTGTTCAGGGTTTTCAAGGAATGGCTGCTGGGTATGAACTGCCAACTTGCAGTTAGCAGTCCAGTGCTTACCCTACAGTGCCACAGCAAGATTCCAAATAGCAGCAGTGGTGGTGGTGGTTACATGTCATGGAGTTGGTTCCAACTCATGGCAACTCTGTATAGGAATTTGGAGGCTGTGAATCTTTATGGGAGCAGAAAGTCTCATCTTTCTCCCATGAAGCACCTTGCAATTAGCAGTCCAACTTGTGACCCACTATGCTACCAGAGATCCCTTCAAATAGCAGTTGTTGTTAAATGCTGCTGAGTGGGTTCCATCTTACAGTGACCCTGCATAGGATTTTCAAAGAGCAGGTGGTGAGTTTGAACTGCTGACCTTGCGGTTCAAACTGATCTTGCAGTCCAGTTCATTATCCTACAGGGCCACACCTGGATTTCCCAAATAGTAGTTGTTGTTGTTGTTAAGTGCCATTGAGTCGATTCTGACCCATAGCAACCCTGTATAGGATTTCCAAGGAGCAGCTGGTGAATTTGAACCACTGACCTTGTAGTTCAGTAGGGATACAGTAATTACTAAACAGGGCACCCAAGGTAGTTTTTTTCAGGTCTCTGAACCAGTTTTTCCTGGTTCAGTCATGGATGATGAAGGTAAACTGGAATGGACCCAAGTTTGTAAAATATGGCATACCAACACCATAAGCAGAATTGGAAAAAGTAAGATTTGATGCCCTGCTAGAAGCTCAATCTCCCTCCTAGAAAATGAGGCAGTGTGCACATTGTGATGCAATCAAACCTCTTGACCAGGAGAGTTGGAAATAACAGTGCCCAGCTCAAAGGTGGTGGCGACCCACATGGCCCTGAGTGTGTGCTGCTCTCCAGGGTCCTGAGAATAACCAGCATCAGGCTCCAGAAAGGGTTCACTACATTTCTCCCAAATCTGCCATTCAAGGGTTTAGACCTATAGTTTCTCCCTTCCAGTACACCCACATTTTCCAAATTCGAGCCTGTCCTGACTTTGACCGAACCAGTTCAAAATCCTGGCTTTCTTTCCCACTGTCCTTCTTTTTGAGTAGCTTTTTTTTTTTTTACCTTCCGCAACTTCATCCAGCAACACAGTAATTTTCTTGTTTTCTAATAATCTATCTTTTAAAAATTTCATGAAGATTCCATTTGCCAGTCCTGAATGCTGGATCTCAAAAGCTTCTGCTCCTTGACACCTTAAAAAACAGAAAAGACAACTGTTTAAAAAGTAGACCGTTGCCATGTGACAAGAATGGGAGCCTCCACAGACACAGAGGGACCTCCCTCTCTTCTCTCCCTGTGGCTGGACATCCCCAGGAAAGAGCTCAGCTTTCCTCAAGGACAAAGCATGTAGTAAGTGATACAGTCGAGTACTTTAAACTTCTCTACTAAGAATATCGAGGAAGCATGTCTATACCTGTGGTTGCTGTTAGTCAACTCCATCCCATGGTGACCCCCAGTCTAATTAAGCTACTAGACCTCGTAATCTACCATAAAAGGAAAGTCCACAGAGAGTAAAGGAACCGTCATCATAAACATCATGTTTCTTACGTGGCATATCCAAACACAATGTTGGCCGTGACTTTTAGTGCATCCAAGATGGGAATGGTATCATCATAGTCATTTCTATCAGGAAAAAGAGCGGGGAGGGAAGTTACAAATACGAAAAATTAAATAATTCTTAAAAGAGCGTAAATTATAGTATATAGGCAGTCCCTGAGCTATGAATGGGATTTTTCCCTCTGTCTTTCAGTGGAAGGTGTCGGGGAGTTCTTACTTTGCAAGAAGAGGCTCAAGGCCTTGTCAGTGATTTAACAGCTGCACATGCAGCAAGTGGAGGTGATTGTGATGAAGAATTTGAGGGTAAATTTACGTAACATTAAAGGGCAAGTCAGGGACTGCCTGTAATGAAAAGACAAGTATGTACAGTTAAAAATTACACTGAAAACACTCAGTTAAAACACTCCTGAGACAGACAGCAGTCACATCTTTTCTCTTTGGCTTTAAATGCTTTAAAGCATTTGAACTCTGGCACTGAATTTTGATGGGTAAATGCTGAACAAGGAAAGTACAGTAAGCCTGAGAAGCCACTATGGAATCATCACAGGCTCTATTCCCTGTTACATGACGGCAGACAACTGGGACCCACACCTTCAAACTCTGCTTCACCTACGCTTTTCACTCTACCTGCAAAACCAGAACTGAGAAGCGGGGCCAGGTGTCTGTCCCGTTAATTCCCACGGAATGACTGCTTTCATTACTGATGGTGCTGGTGGTGTCCCGTGGAGTTGGGTCCGACTCATAGCAATCCTGCATAGGGTTTCCGAGGCTGTAAATCATCATGGGAGCATGAGGCTGTAAAACCTCATCTTTCTCCTGTGGAACCGCTGGTAGTTTGAAACGGCTGACCTTGAGGTTAGCAGTCTGACTCATAACCACTACACTACAAAGGCATTTTGAAGGGTTCAATCCGTTTCTAGTCTGAGTACATACCCACATCCTTTAGTTTTCTACTTTTGTTCTATGTTGTTGTTGTTCTTAAGTGCCACTGAGTTGGTTCCGACTCAGCGACCCTAATCAATGTTTCTGAGCCTGTAGATCTTTACGTGAGCAGAAAGTCTCATCTTTCTCCCACGGAGCAGCTGGTAGTTTCGAACTGTTGACCTTGTGGTTTGCAGCCCGATTCGTAACCACTACGCTACCAGAGCTCCTTACTTTTGTTCTATAGCAAATAGGGAAAAACTCACAATAATGAAATACACAAAGAGAAAATATACTTCCCTCTAGTTTTCTTCCTACTCAGTTTTAATCTATAACTTAAAATTCACTCATTCAAGTGGTTCTTAGTATTTCACAGGTCTGCCTTAGATTTAATGCTTAAGGGCTGACATTTAACTAACTAGAACACACTTTGTTGAATATAGATGAGAAATGTTACCTTTTCCTACACATATCTAGCAAGAACACATTGAGTCCGGTTTCCTTTTCTTGCATCAGTTTCAGTATATTTTGCACACACAGACAATTTTCTGATCTATAGGGATTTGGGGCATCCACAGGGACCATAAAGCTGTTTCCAAAGTTTTCATAACCATGTCCTGCATAATATAATAATCCTGGAAAGAAAGAAAAAAACAGGATGCACATTCATTCTGAATCGCACGTTGAGCATATATGTACACACTTACAATACAGAGTGTGGTTCCGTTTCTCAGTTGATACAAGTGTGTTTTAAGAGAGACCCAGTTGTAAATGCAGTCAATGTTACTTTGCCTTGAAAAGTTCTTTTGGCAATAGCTTAAGTGCTGCAATTTCAGGAAACATCAAGATGCTGTGCACAAGTCTATTTTAATGATAAAAGCTATGCTTTTGTGGTCCAGGGTATGATAGAGAAGGAATGTGACTCTCATGATGTGTGAGAAACAAGGTGGCTAGGACCTATTATTGCTGACCTCCCCCACCACCCTGGCCTTTGTTTCCTCCAGGAAACCAGGGGTCCCTGCGTTCCCGGTACAGCGAAGAGTGGGGGAACCGGCCAGCACAGTCCAACAGCAATGTCATGTGGACAAACCTCAGCGGTATTCCCATACAACACTGGTGTTGTTGCTACGTGCCGTTGGGTCAGTTCTGACTCAGAGTGACCCTGTATAGGGTTTCTGAGGAGCAGCTGGTGAGCTTGAACTACTGACCCTAAGGTTCAAACCGACCTTGTAGTCCAGCACATTAACCCACAGCAGCACCGCAGGACTCCTTACAATATCAGTACAGCCTTAAAAAGATAAATGTAGATTTTTTCTAAGCTGAGAAAGAAAGATCTGATTTCATGGTTTTCTATGTCTTCTTTCTATTGTATAACACATCACTTACTTTCTACTAAGAGTCTCTTGAATGAATAATCCAAAATTTGGGTTATTTTTGGAACTCAACAGATGAGTCATATTTCTTTACTGAGAAATGATACCATAAAAACGGAAAAAAACAACTTCAAACACTTTTCTGGAAAGAAGTTGGTTTGGGCTGTAAAAACCCCAAACATTTTTACTGACCCTTTACTCTACTAAGCATGTTGTCTTTCTTCAGGGACAGGTCCCTCCTAGTAACATATCCAAATACAGGGTTCCTGATAAAAACACACGTGATGACCTTCCCTCAGCATGTACTTGTGCACTAGTTTTGGTCTCTTGATGTTCTGGATGTAACAATTTCTCTGACAGTATTCCATGGAGCCCTGGTGGTACAGTAGGCTGTGAACTGCAAGACCAGCAGTTCAAATCCACCAGCTACTCTGTGGGATAATTATGAGGCTGTCTGCATCCATAAAGATTTAGTCTTGGAAAGGCTACAGAGGGTCGTTGCGTCAGACTTGACTCGGTGACAGTGGGGTTGGTTGGTTTACGGTACTCCAACTTTAGTGGTGGTGGTGTGTTGTCGAGTCAATCTTAACCCATAGGGGCCCTGTATAGGGTTTCCGAGGCTGTAAACCTTTCCCCTTCAGAGTAGCTATAGGGTCGCTATGATTTGAAATCATTTAGATGGCAGTGGGTTGGTTTGGGTTTATCTCCAGCCAGACCTGACTGGGGAGAAGCAGCAACTTTTTTTTAAATGTTTTATTGTGAATTATATGATAGTTTACATGAGAGAACCTTAGTTTCACATTCATTCCATCGTATATCATTTCATTGCCATGGTTCCAATCCCCTCCATGCATCATCAACCAACCAAAGGGTATATCCTAGAAACCTGCCCCCCTGCACCCCCCAGGCCTTCAGCCCACAGTCCCT